CAACTCGATCGACTCCGCAGGAATTGACTCGCTAGACGAGACAACAACTCGATACTAACAATCTCGCACTCTATGCGAGACACTCTCGCCCTCTCGACAAGGCAAACTCTCCGACTGCGGACCAGCAGGGTTTATATAGTTGTCGGCTCACTTTCGAGAACATTCTGGGCTAAACCGGTAAGAATTCGTTCCAAAAGGTTCTCCATCCGCCCATTTTGTCGTCAAACACCGCCAAACGGGCGATTTTTCGCCAAATGTGGCAACACTGCCTTCCCTTGCCATTTTATGGCAACCCTAAACCTGCTTTGCGGGGAAGCTATCTCACCGCGCCTGTACATTCTTTACACTAATATTGAAAACAAGCGTTAATGGCACACCAGACTACCTATAAATGGAGCTCATTAATTTACATTGCGATATAAATCATATTCGAAGATTAATTTTATTCAATATTCAGTTTTAACAAGATTTGAAAATACAGATTTGATTAACTTATATTGGTACTTCTTAAAAGATAAATACGCTCAGTTACGAATTGTAGCATTTAGAATAATCGCTTTTTTGGGGAATGCGTGAACAGCTTTTTCTCACATTTGAAAATTAATAACAACTCGTTTGATGAGCATATAGAGTCCGTGATAAAGATAAAATTTTCTTCAATTCTTCTTTAAAATATTTGGTAAACGAAATTTAAAATTCAATTGAAGTACACTTTTCGGTACTGTGATCGTGCTTTCGGTCCGCAGGCAATCTGTGTTAGGGACCACTGTTGAATAAATACTATGTAAAAAATAAAAATATATGTGAATTCGTATTTTTTTGCTCAAAACGGGGAATTTGTCCAGAAGGGCTATTAATTTCGTTTTGGCATTTAACGTCGTCCACTATAAAGAGGAGTTTCACTTCTCAAATTGTTGCCACCAAATATTATAGCACTGTATTATATTTAAAGAAATTAAATAATGAAGAATCAGCATAAATGTATGTACGTTTCTCGCACCGTGATAAAACGACGCTACCTAGAGATCCAATTTTGAATAACGTAATCCTCCACCGAATATGGGCATCTGGAAGCCCTAATTTGGAATATGGAATTTGTTTTATTATCTTTTTCATGTTTTGTCAGACATTAAAAGAATTTTTGATTAACAAACTCAATGATTTCAAAGCGAGCAATGGCAATACTATACGGGGAGAAAAAAAAAAAAAAAAAATCTGAAAGCTTTTAGATTTTACATTACCAAACGCCTTTTTTTTTAACGTTACCTTTACTTATTAAATGTTCTTTGCATTTAAACCATAAAATTCAATTCAACAGCAATACCGCAAAATAATTTTAAAATGAGAATACCTTTAGAATTTCCTATACACAGCCTCGCGCGTCGCTTTGAAATCATTGAGTTTGTTCATCAAAAATTCGTTGAAGTGTTACTAAATATGAAATCGATAATAAAGGAAATTTCAAATTCCAAATTAGAGCTTCCAGATGCCCATATTCTGTGGAAGATTACGTGTTATTCAAAATTTGATGGCTCTACGTACCGTTGTTTTATCACAATGCGAGAAGCATACATACATTCATGTACTTATTTATTTAATTTCATTTAAAATAATATAGGGCTCTAATATTTGGTGGCAACAATTTGAAAAGTGAACCGACATTTAAAGTTTTCAACGCAAAATGCCAAAACGAAATTAACAGCCCTTCTGGACTAAAAAAATTATCTCCAGTGAGCGATATTATGTATCGGAAATTCTAAAGATATGCTCTTTTTAAATATTTTGTGATTATGCTGTTGAACTGAATGTTATGATTTAAATGCGAAGAACCTGCTATTTAATAAATAAAGGTAACACACAAAACGTTAAATAAACGCCACTTTGGGCGTAATTTAAAATCTGAAAGCTTTCACATTCCTCCTCCCCCACCCATTTTAAGGCACATTCTTTTCCCATACATCTTACATGACTCTAAAACTGAATGCGGTTTAGAATCGCAGGATGTTCTAAATAACTAATATTTGTGAACTGATTAGTCCTCCCCCGAAAATTCTAATTAAGTAAATATATCACTACTATTATTAGTTAATCGAAATCAACTGCTAAATATATTTGCTAGACGCATTTTAATTTTTTTTTTTTTTTTTGTAAACTTTCTTTACTTAAGAGTCTAAGGTCCCTCCAGCGATAGCATTTAATTTTTTTTTTTTTTAAACTTTCTTTACTTAAGAGTCAAAGGTTCCTCCAGCGATAGCAAGACTGAAATAACATATCTAAGAATGAAAAACATAACGTACTTGTCCTGTTTCCTTAATTACTTTTTAAACTTGCTATTCATACAGGAAACGGTTAGTTGTAATTGCAACTGCAATTAGAATTACTGCCCCGCGCCAGTGTTGGGTGCACTCAGTGTGAGAGAAAAATATGAGACCATAATGGGGGGGGGGAATGGAAAGATGTTCCTTTCTCCACTCAACGCTTCATGTTATTTTAATCTTTTTCCTTTAAACAAATTTACTAGCAGTAAATAAATTTAGTTTTTAGTGTTTTATAGCCCGTTTCACTTAATTTTTACACCTTCCAACATTTGTGATCATACAATTATATTATGGCAAATTTCATATACTCTTTATATTTTGCAGCTTAAAAGCAATTTACTAATGTCAGGAAAATTAGGTACATAAGCTGATGGCGTAATTTTGCAACATTAGGAAAGTTCTCGTAAGTCCTCCCACACGGTACAGTGATTAAGGCAATAAGGCGTCGACATTTCTCAGACGTTTTAAAATTTTGTACCATATAAATAAGAATAAAAAATATATGCACTATCAATATATAATTTTGGTCCAAATCCAGAGGGAAAAGGAATGAAGAAAAAAAATGGTGCGAACATATAAGTGGGAACTTTTTTGCGCTTATAGGGAGGGACTCTAAAAGTCTTAACCCGGCCTTACATTCGGGTATTATTTTAAGTTATTTAAAATTACAGATGTATGGTCACTTGGACAAGGACTATACATTTTAACTACTACGAACACTTTTATAAGATCCAAAAACAACGTTTTAAAAACTAAAACTAAAAGAACAGAAAAGAAACCTTCATCAACTATTTGACACTTATACAAAGCTGTAAAGTAAAAGCAACCCAGACACAGTATCCATCAACACATATGCAAGTTCTTCATGCTTGTCATCTCTCTCAACAAAAGCAAACAAAACTCGTAGTATAAGACCGAAATGGCATTTAAAGTAATATTTAAAACCTTATTGCCCAAGAGAATAAACCTAAAACAACATTTGGAAAACCAAACCATTTTTTACCTGGGAACCTTTTATCTCGTTTTCACAGAAGAAAGCCCGACTAAAAAGAATACAGAAAAAGAGGGGGGGAAAGGTAGAAAAAATCAGCATTTAGCAGGGATCTTCCCTAAAAGAAAACGTTTACTTCGTAAAGCAGGCAAAGAAAAAAAAAAGTGCCTAGAAAAAAGGAGGAGAAAAAAAAAAAAAAAAAAAACTAAGCAGCTAAACCATCATCCTTTTTATTCTAGCCAGCAAAGTGAGTAGCGCGTGGCAAGAGAGAAAGGCTGTTCGAAGGACAGCGAATTAAAGTAAAAGGCTGCTGCCATACGCTAAAATACAAAAATAAAGCCAGCTTAAGGATTTCTTAAAGCCTAGAGAAGAGAAGAAAGAAGGGCGGTGAGAATGGGCGATTTTTTTCCCTCGCCCACGGAATTCTCACGGGATCCAGTTTTTGGAGTTTCGAGCCTTCCGGCACTTCCGGTCATTTCGTATAGGGAAAGGAGAGAAGAAAGGGGAGAGACACTCAAGACACTTCTATAACCCTTTATGCCACTGTGAAACACTTTTTTTAGTTTTACTTGTACGGAAATATTTGAATATTAACTGTTTAAAACCAAGCAAATCCAAGAAAATAGTCTATGGCTTTCATTGCTAGCGTAGTCAAAGCATAATTTTAAAACTTTAAATTTACTGTAAAGATACAGTAATTAAGATATGAAATTATATGCAAATTGTAGTATCTCTCGTAACATGAGAGACATTAGAATTCGAAACATCACCGGAAAAATAGCATTACAGGAAAGTCCACTTAACATTGAGATAAATGGGTATTTCGCCAAATTCGCGAGATAACACATAGCTGGCGATGGATTTGGCGACTAATTGTTGTCGCCAAATTTGGCGAGAAATCGTTACAAGTCGTCAGGCTAGGCGAATTTTGGTCCAATTTCTGTGTAACTATAATGGTTCGATCCTTATGTAATTGTAACTGTATCCTATATTACTGTCACTGTGTATGCCTTCCAGTAATTTCGAGAAATTCGAAGATAATGGAAATTTCTCGGCAGACGGTGGAAAACTATATAAGACCGGTGAGAACATAAACGTCCACTTTCAGCCCAGAATATTTGAGTTCAGTTTATTGACAGATCACCGGGCCAACTCGTTTTGTCTTGAATTCAACAGAGTTTTTAGTTTGAAGAGTTAATTCCTGATTGTACTGAGTCATACTGAGAAGTCCTTTTGTGTGAAAAGTTTCAGAACTGAGAAATGTTTTCGTAAAAATAAATTTCATCAAGCTTTCATCGTTCTTTGTGTATTCAATCCATTACGAACCTGTAAGCATATAACAATATTATAAAAATGACTAAACTACTTTGCATACCCCTTTTAGCAGAAATTGAGAATTGGTGCAGTTCAAGAAATGAATGATAATAATTTACTTCGTTCACTAGTGTGTAATAATATTTGTTAAACATATCACAGTCTGATTTTTACTTGCAACAAAATAAAGTCAAAGTCAAGTGATTAGGAAAGTGACGCCTGTTAAACTACCACTACTAGGATATGTACATATCCTTGTTTAACAAGGCCTCACTTCCCTAATCGCTTGTTTACCGGTTGAAGATAATAAAACTACCCCTTCTTATTTTAGATGATTCACTTTCATAAGGTTGGATACATTGGCCATTGTCTTGGGAGCGTGATGCTACATTTCTAAAAACGTGAAATGTGCTTAATATATGAAATATGCATAGAATTATATAAAATTTTGAAAAGTTTCAAGTATTCTTTAAGTAGGTCCTTGAGTATTGTAGTCTCTGTTCTGTATGTAATATAGATTATTCAGCTTTTCTTATAGTTTGTATTGTGTAACTGTAGTATTATGTGAAATTTATGGATGCTGTCCTTCGAATATGGAACTTAAAATAGTTTTGTGCAGTATAAAATGTCATTAATTCGTTGTAATAGTTTGCGTATGAAAAATATAAACTTCTATTTTCGGGAAAAAGTACCAGAAATGTGTAAAATCACGTAGTACATTTGATTGGTCTTCAAGTTCGACTGAATTGATATAACTTCGGATATAACTTTACATAAGAATATCTAAAATGTTCAATGGGAATTCAAATTTTGAAAATAGTTTTCTATTTTTGATACTGTTTCATTGCACTAAGTCTTCTAGCTCTTATGAAATATTATTGTTATTCACAGATTTTCATGAAAGATGAAAAATATTTGATTTTTTCCTTGAAATTTTTAGTGTCATTCAGTAAGCACCTGCAATTAAACTCGTATGGCACTCTCTAATTAATGTGAAATGATATATATTCTTTGAAAAATATTGGGCTATGTTATTAGAATCTACGAAATAGTGAAATGTTTGGTATGAAACGATAAAAATTTTGCATGAAGTTCGGTATATGTTCACTCTCATTATTGAAGATCTCTTCCTAAATTCTGAAATAGTGATGTTTTTCTCTCTATTATTTTCAAAATTTAGTAGTTCATGAATTAAATAACTGTATAGATGTACTAAACCTTATGGAAAATTCAAATATTTTATGAATTGATTGGTTTTACTTAAATGTTTTAGAAGTAAATGAGCGGTATGTTAGGCAGTTTCTTTCAGAAATATATCCGTATTTGAAAACTCTGTAGATAATTTGCCTTACTGAAATTGTTCTAAATTTTTAAAAATATATGGGTGATATGTTATCATCTAGAGTGTCTTTTCTCTTTGCAAATAGTATATAGAGTTATAATAGGAATTGAATCTTCTTTCTATAGCAGAATTTATTAGTATCTCTAGAAGAGGATTTAGAAAAAAAATATTCATATTTTTGTAAAAAAATAATATAGTATCTGGTTGTCGTTATGGTAGAAAGTGTTATTCAAAAGTTTCAGAGTGGTAAAGTATGATTGTGAAACATTTTCTGAAAATAATCAATGTATTTCTCAATATTAGAAATTAAAATAGTCAAAACTAGAAGTCTTTTACGCAATGTGAGCATGAAAGCCTTTGAAAAATCTGCTGCAGTCGTATAAAATTTAACTCGAAGATGAAAAATTGTTGCTTGCATGATTAAACAATATCAAAATTTGGTTTGAAACTAAATCACTGAGTGCTACATACAGATGTGATCGTGATTGTTTCAAGTTCTTTGAGTAGAAGATATCCTGTTTTTTAAGTAAAATTATTTTCCTTTTCCGATGAAAGTAATCTTTGGAAAAGTGATATATTTTCAGATTTTTGTCTGTTAGAAGAAATGCGCATGCCTACATAAAAATAAAATAGGAGTATGACTGAATTTTCTCGTTACTACAAAAGGGTAGATTTAGAAAATAAAGGAACATTTCTAATAACGTTGGTTCGTTACCTTACTCTTACTTCTTAAAAGTTGATAAGTTATAAGAAAAGTCTTTTTAATCGCATACAGATTATAGGAAATGATTTGTTACTCAGGTTTTATTTTAATGCATTACAATATTTTACATTTCGTTTAAAGTATTGGTAAGATTTTAATGTTCCTAATGAGTAGGATTTTCTTAACGTGTATGTGGATATTTAATTACATTTTCCTCAACAACGCTTGGGAGTAATTTAATAATATGTCGCATAAATATGCTTTTCTTTTAAAAATCCTAATTGAAAGTTAATTAAAATTATTTAGTATTAAATGTATGTAAAATGCTAATTGTACTACAGAATGATTCATGACTTTTTTGTGTATATTCACAAGGGTAGATAAAGTGAACTTCAGGTTTTTCTCACTGATAGTAAATCTGGAGCCGATAAAAACCTGGAGCCGATAAAAATCTGTTATAGACTTAGTTATGACCTTAGGTAAATATAGGTAAATATATTGCTTTCTATCAACACATTTTCTAAACATTTGTTGGGAATTCTGAATAAATAACTTAAATTCGGTAAAGGTTACATCCTCATTTAGGTAAAACCTTAAATATTCTACAGTGAAAAATGCTTATTTCATATTTAGTTCTTAATATTAAGAAAATAGTTCTAAAATAGTTATTCTCTAGTGTGGTAATACTACAGGAAAAGTTAAATGATTTATATGGTGTTTGGAGTTTTTTTTCTCTCAGAAAGAGGTAATATTTAGCAAATTACAGCTCTCAAAAATGGATAGAAAGTTCCTACAATGCAAACATATATGTACAATTATAAGAAAACATAACACTTATTTGGGTGTAATTTTGAATTGAAAAGGGGTTATTCCTCATCAAATGTGCATTAGTAAGGCATGTTTAACTGCTATGATACGTATTGTGCGAAGGAAGTTCTGTATTTGTGATGAAGAAGGTTAAAATATTCGAAATTATAGTGGAGATTTGGGTAAAATGTCTCTTACTCTTTCTCTCTTTGGTTCCTTCTGTAAATATAGGTGTATTGGTAATGATATATGTTGTGTAAAGGAATGGTAGTGTTTTACAGTATTTCATTCATAAGAAAATAAATTGGTAAATAAATTAATGCAAACTGACATTTGCGAAAAGAACATTTTAGTCTAAGAAATTAAAAAAAAACAGACTACATATGATATTGTCTAGGGAAATTAAGTTGGAACTGGACTAAGTTATAAAAAAAATGTGTTAACACTATGTGTACTATGTGTTAGAAATAAATGTATACCAATAAAACAAACTTTCAAGAGATGAAATCGTAGCCAATGGGTAAAATTCATGAAGGCAGAAATATCCATACTTAGTGTAGGAAAAGGTAATAAAAGGAAAATTTGCATAGTCGAAACATTTAAAGTGAAGTAGAATGCATTCAATTAGTACAAATTACTGAATTAAGAGGTACTGAGCGTTCAAAATAATAAGAAAGAATTTTGTACGAGTACATGAAAGAATGAATATGGGTCTAAAATTATGGATGAAAGTTGAGATTTCATTCTAAAAATTCGGAATCTATCAAACTAGCTTAATGATAATCAAGATTCAAAACTGAACATTGGTAACACTGAAGAGCTTAAAAACATATATTCAGATATAAAGGGTATTCAGAATTAAAAGGAAATGCCGGAATACGCAGGAAATTTTAAAGTTTGAAAATGCGAATGAAGTTAATAATGAAGTAAAGTAGTAGGATAAGTCATGGTAAGAGTACTACAGAATGATAAATTGTAGAATTGGCAAATTAAAATAGTACTATAAAATATGGATTAAGTAAGGGCTATTCAACGAATTGGATATGAATAACAGTTAAAGGTTGTAAAATAATATGCTTAATTGAAATCTATCTCTGTGTTTGAGAAATTTAAGCGTGTTAATTTAGCTGAAATAGTAAAATCACAAGCGCAATTACAATCAAAAATTATAAAACAGAATTAAATTTTAGAGTATGTTGGAAACTAGAAAGAAACCCAGTGTCAGAAAAGTATGAAAATTACATCTGAAATTAAGTAAAGTTCATGCGTATGGTAGGAAAATGTAATAAACAAGTTCAAAATTAGAGTACTTTAAAAATTACGAAGGTATAAAATGTAGGAAACATGTTAAAAATAATATCTAAAATTGAGTAAAGCTCATATACATGGCAAGAAAATAGAGGAATTAAGCTAAAATTAAGAGCCTGTTCGAAATTAGCAGTGTTAAAACGTATGAAAGTCGTTACAAATTAAATGAAAGTCATGTGAAAGTATAAAAAATTAGTTAAAATTCTTAGTATGTTGGAAACTAAAAACAATAAAAAAACAGAAAAGGAGTTAAAATTTACATCTAGAATTAAATAAGTTAGGTATATGGTAGGAAATTGTAATAAACAAGTTTAAAATTAAAGTAAAATGTTTAAAATTAAAGTTTAAAATTCAAAATTTACGAAGGTTTAAAATGTACGAAACAAGTTAAAAACTACATCTAAAATGAAATAAAGCTCATATATATGGTCAGAAAATATAGGAATTAAACTAAAATGTAAAGTATATTTGAAATTACGAAGTTTAAAACGTATGAAAGTAGCTATAAATTAAATGAAAGTCATGTACATAGTGTAAAAATATAGCAAATTAGTATGTTGGACTAAAAAACTAAAACGTTAAAATATAGAAAAGTTAAAATTTACACCTAAAATTAAATAAAGTCAGGTATATCATGTGAAAATATAGCAATTATGTTAAAATTTGGACTATATATTGGAAATTATGAAGGTTAAAATGTATGAGAGAAATGAAGTAAAAGTCATGTACGTAGTGTGAAAATATAGCAAATTAGTTAAAACTCAGAGTATGTTGGAAACTAAAAACAATAAAAAACAGAAAAGGAAGTTAAAATTTACATCTAGAATTAAATAAGTTAAGTATATGATTAGGAAATTGTAATAAGTTAAAAAAGTTATGAATTAAAAATGTACAAACAAGTTAAAAATTAAAAATAAATAAAGTTCATATTGGTCAAATAGTGTAAACGAAGGTTAAAATGTACAGAACAAGCTAGAAATGTTACGTCTAAAATTAAATACAAGTCATTTATATGATTAGAAAATGTATGAAATAAGTTAAAATACAGAATATGTTGAAGATCGCTAACTTTGAAAAGAACGAAAAAGTTAAAAATTACATCTAACATTGAATAATATAATACACGAAAATGCGTGTTTTAGTAATTACACTCATAAAATATAACGAATAAGTTAAAAGTATTGCCTAACAAGTCTGAAAAAACTCTGGGTAAAATGAATTTAGGAATAAGAATGAGTAATGCAATGAAGATTACGGAAAGTATATGTGATATTATGAACAGAAGATTTAAGAAATAAGGTAAAATTCTGAGTGTATAGGATCATTCAATCATTAAATTCGAAAATAATCCTCGTTCAGGGTAACTAGGAGATAATCATCATATACGTAGTAAAACAGTTGGAATACGAAGAAAAACACAAAGGCTAAAAATTTATTAACGAAGGGAAATCACCTCCGAAAAATCAGTAAAATATAATCTCTTATTAAATTGTGATGACATGTAGCAATTTTGCAGATATTCAGTCATAGGATAAATACAAGTAAGGAAATAATTATTTTCCAAAGACTGTGAAGGAAACATTTTATTTTATATCTGTTTCTAGAAAATAACTGTATCAGTCACTTAAAACACCTACTTGATATACGTTTTTAAGAACTCAATATAAATAAGCAAGTTTACAAATTATCATATAACTACTAAATGCCTAAATCACCAAATTAAAAAAGAAAATAATCTAAGCACACGTCCTTTTTCTGTGACGTAGCAATAACTCTACTCGCATCCACTTCCTGATAAGGCTTCCTGTCCCCATTTTCAGATAAGCATCCCTTCCACGGCTGAGCCTTCCTTCTCTGGAGCTCCCTCAACTCCGGCTCCCTGTGCTCCCTGGCTCAGAACTCTCATTTCCCTTACTCACCATAGACGTTATAAGCCTTAATAACAATGGACTTAATGTCCTAGCATGTTATCTTTTAATAAAGTGTTGCTTAATCATGTGTCACTCCTAATTAAGAGCTGGAGTACTGAAAACTACAAAGGCTGTTCACACATTTTTAGACGATGCTGTCTTGCTACATAAAAAAAAAAAAAAAAAAAAAGTCTACTTTTAAATTTTTTTTAATTGCAGCTTTATTTCCGCTTTTTATTTCAGAAAGCATAAATTATCGTCTGCTACTTGACAGTTTTGTTTTCATGCAAAATGATGCTTTCAAAGAAGCAATGGATGGAACTCTATGCTTGTGCTCTTTCCGAAGAAAATTATTCGTGTATAATTATTACAAAACGCTGTGAAAGACATAGTTTTTGATACCTAAAGCTAAGATAGGTAACATTACTAATTCAGAAGTCAAACAACAAAAATTAGCGTTTTTGTAAATAAAACGCTGATTTTTGTTGTTTGACTTCTGAATCAGTATTTATTCGGCGTGTTATTGTGTCTTAATTATAGGTAACATTGTCAATAAGAAAGGGGGGGGGCTGAAAAGTCAAAGTGGAAAAATTGTTCCAAACACATATCCAAAGAAAAAACGAAATGTTTCGAATGTTGCAAAGGTAAGATCTTTAAAAAAAAGACCCGCCAAGTCAAAGGGCAGTTGCAAAATCATTAAAACGCTCACTGTCAACTGTAAAAAAAGTGATTAATGCTGATTTGAATCTTAAAAAGGCGAAAACTCATAATCTGCATCGTCTTTGTCTAAGACGTACCGACGGACGCAGAACGCGCTGCAGATTTCTTTGTGAAACATTTACCCGGACAAAAATGGAAAAATGTTGTTACAATGGATGAATATTGGATGAATTTAAATGACTGAACCAAAAAGATATCCATTTGTTATCATAAAAGAGGAGGGGAAAAAATCTTAAAACACGATTCAAAGAATCTAAAGAAAGATTTTCAAGGGGATTTATGATTGTTGTTGGTTTTTCATATAACGGCAAATTAAAAATGAAGAGAGTGGATAAAAATGCTAAGATCAACTCCACATATTATCAGGAACATATTTTGAACCCAACTTTCAGATATGAAATACTTTCCCTTCACCAGCAGTCCCATCGATCAGCAGAATTGCATCAAGACAAAGCAAGCAGCCAACACGTCAAAATCCACAGTTTATTTTCTGGAAGAAAATGGAACAAGAAACGGGTATCAAGGCCATACTCTTCATATCCCTACTAAATCTCCTGATGTATGTATCATCCATGGATGTTTGCGCTTTGGACGTTTAAAAAGCGGATTCTCCAAACGATATCGCTCCTTGGGCTTTGGAAAGCTGTTGACGAGGAACGGGATAAAATATCTCTTGTGATACT